TTTGCTTTATGACATTTCAGCTTACAGTTCCATAGGAACTCTCTACTTTCAGATAGCGGGAAAAACCTGTACCCATACAATGGACTACTACTTGACTCCCCCCTCCAAAAAGAATATAGTTTAAAGAAAAACATGATAATTGTATAATGCTTACTGGTTAACATCACTAGTAATAAGACTTACCAACATTATGTACCCCTGGTATTATACTGTGAGAAGGGTACACCATCTCTGTAGTGTTCTTGACAAATATGCATAATACTTCAATCATGTGAAAAAACATCAGACAGACCCAAACTGTGGAAGATTCTACAAAAATATCTAACCAGTACTCTTCAAAAGTGTCAAAGCAATGAAAGACAGGACTGTCACAGAAGACACTAAGGAAATATGACAACTAAATGCAATGTGGGATCCTAGACTGGAATAAAGAACCTCAGTGGGAAAATTTGTAAAAACCGAATAACGTTTGTAGTTCAGTTAGTAGTACTACACTAATGTTAATTTCTTAGCTTTAAAATTGTACTGTGGTCAACTGTAGTCAAGTAAGAGGTCACCATTAGAAGAGAATAGAGGTCAACTATTATTTTTGCAGCTCTTCCATAGGTCTAAAATTATTTCAAACTTTTTATAGTTTAAAAATGTTAGAGGTAATAAAAAAAATGAACTATTTACTGACAGACACAACATCAATAAATCACAAAAACATTATGCTGAGCAAAAGAGGCCAGACACAAGAGTACATACTGTACGATTCCATTTATATGAAATTCTGAAAAGGGCAAAATTAATATATAGTGACAAAAAGCCCTGAGGCAAAGAGCGGGAGGGTGAACTGACTTCAAAGAGGCAAGGAGGGCATTTTTTGGAGTGATGGAAATATTCTTTATCTTAAGTGGTAGTTAGACATGTGTATATATTTTGACAACTAAATCTATATACTTAAAATGCATGTTTTATTATATGTAACTTATTCCTCAATGTTTAAAATTTAAAAAATAAGTCCATATTTAAAAGTATTTCACTTTAATAGTGCATATTTTATACTGGGTAAACTCAAATATAGTGACTGATTTTTTTATAGTTTTTAATTTTCAAGTTTTTAATCACCTGATGCTCATCACAAGTACAATCCTTAATCCCCACCCTCTATTTTATATTCCTTCACCCACCTCCCCTCTGGTAACCAGCAGTTTGTTATCTATAGTTGAGTCTGTTTCTTGGTTTCTCTCTCTCTCTTTTCCCCTTTGCTTGTTTGTTTCTTAAATTCCACATATGAGTGAAATAATATGGCATTTGTCTATTTCTGACTGACTTATTTCACTCAGCATTATACTCTCAAGTGTGTGTGTGTGTGTGTGTATGGCAAGATTTCATTCTTTTTATTACTGAACAATATTCCAGTGTGTGTGTGTGTGTGTGTGTGTGTGTGTGTGTGTATCACATCTTCTTTGCGTAAATACCCAGTAGTGCAATTCCTGGGTCATAGGGTAGTTCTATTTTTAATTTTTTGAGGAAGCTCCATACTGTTTTCTACACTATCTGCACCAGTTTGCATTGCCACCAACAGCGCACAAGGGATCCTTTTTCTCCACATCCTCACCAACACCTGTTGTGTCTGTTTTTGATTTTAGCCATTCTGACAGGTGTGAGGTGATACCTCATTGTAATTTCGATTTGCATTTCTCTGATGATGAGTGATGTTGAGCATCTTTTCATGTGTCTGTTAGCCATCTTTTGTCTTCTTGGGAGAAATGGCTGTTCTTCTCATTTTTAATAAGATTACTGAGTTTTAGAAGTTCTTTATATATTTTGGATACTAACCCTTTCTTGGATGTCATTTGCAAATACCTTCTCCTGTTCAGTAGGTTGTCTTTTAGTTTTGTTGACTTTTTCTTCGCTGTGCATAAGGTTTTTATTTTGATGGAGTTTCCATAGTTTATTTGCTTTTGTTTCCCTTGCCTCAGGGGAGCTACCTAGAAAAAAGTTGCTATGGCCGATGTCAGAGAAACTACTGCCTCTGCTCTCTTCTAAGATTTTTATGGTTTCAGGTCTCACATTAAAGTCTTCATTTTTCTTACAGTTTTTAATTAAGTTTTTATTTTAATAAAGTATAGTGATTAATTCTTAAACTGATTTATTAAAACTTATGTACCCAAACTCTTCATTCAATATATATTCACTGAGCACCTGCTACATGCCAGGCTTTAGGAAACACATAGGATATAAAAGTGAAAAAGAAAGCCCTTGCCCTTGAAGAACTCACAGGCCAATGGGGAAACAGGCAAGCAAACAAAAGCTGCAAATGATATATAAATTGCTCTTAGGAAATTATGTACCAAGGTGTCAGGACTGCAGAGAAGACCGTCTCAGACGAGGCTTCAGAACAAATACAGACCCTTTCCAAGAACTTATCCTGTGAGGCTATTACACTTATTCCAGGGATGTTTATTCCAAATACTCAAAGCTTTCAAAAAAATCTTCTTTTAATCTTGTCTCTATACTTTATGGCACATTTTTCTGATGAAAAGTCCTGAGCACTTCACGGGTGTGGTTTGTTTGTTTTTTAAATAACAAAAGTTATTCTCAGATAAATTTAATGAATACTATTCTGGAAAACAGGAGAAGAGTACAAGCTAATAAACCTGTTTTCCTACGTGCTTTATGAAGTGAAGGTAGTACCATAAGAAGACTAACAACGTTCTTCATCCAACACTGAGTTGTTGAAATAATGTACAGTTTCTCAAGGAGGACTCCTTTATTATTTATTTTTTAAAGATTTTATTTATTTGACAGAGAGAGCGAGAGAGCACAAGCAGGGAGAGCAGCAGAGGGAGAGGGAGAAGCAGGCTCTCTGCTGAGCAGGGAGCCCGGTGCGGAACTCAATCCCAGGACCCTGGGATCATGACCTGAGCCAAAGGCAGACGCTTAACCATCTGAGCCACCCAGGCGCCCCAAGGGGGGCTCCTTTAAAGGACATTACCCTTTTGAGTGCTTAAGTCCTGGTTTGTTTAAGGGAGGGAGCCTAGTACTTTGAAATTATACCTCACTATAAATTGTCATTGTTCAAAATGATAATTTAAACTTACCATAATACATATGTACGTGTGTGTATACTCACACATATAAATGTATACTTAGGTTTGAATCTCAGTTCAGCTATATCACAGGTAAACACCCTTGGACAAAGTCCAAGGACAACAGTAATATCTGCCTCATAAGAGTTTTTGTAAATATTAAGTAAGTGACGTGAATGAGATAGTCCATGTATTAAATGAGATAATCTATTATTAGAACAGGGCTTACTTAGCACTTATTATAATAAGCACAATAAATGTTAATAATTGACTATTATATTTACATATAAGCAAAGTATGTTAGTATCTTCACTAAGAATAAGCATTAAAATATGAAGTGGGATTAAAAAATAAAAAAGCAAAAAGAAGAAATCATGAGGTACCTTTAAAGCTTAGAGACTTTTTTCAGTGACTTTTTCATTAAACAAGAGAATTCATTTTTTTTTATTCTGTGGGAACATGTAGTTATCGCAATGCTCAGTAACAAAATGTGCCTGAACAGTACAGGTTTTCAATAAATACTAACAACTATTTCAATACAATGCAATTGTCTTAATAACCAAGGGGGAAAAAATCTGTCACTTTTTGTTCCCATTAACTTCTACTTCTGCTTTAGATAGTATCTCTTTAGCTGAATTATCTTACCATTCCTTTCCCTGGAGAGGTAAAATTCTAGAAAGGAGAGAGACTGTAGGATTTTCTCCCAATTTGGAAGATCTACCCTGAGAAAGTACAGTACCTCCAACTTGCTTTCTGAGAAGTGGTCCTAAAAGTGTCTGTGTCCAATTAGAAAAATATGTAAGAATAAAAATGCAGCAAAAACTTTAAGGCAATAGAAAATGAAATAAACAACAAAGAGTATGGAGGGAAGAAAGGGAAATTCAAACCAAGTCAGTGTATATTTTTAATATATAACTTGTTTGGTACATAGCATGGCTACATCTATGTGGCAACTACCTATAAACTGCATATGTTCATTTTTGCATTATATTACAATACATATTTACATATATTTATAATACATTTATATGTTATAATGAATATTATTATATTAGCCTAAATTGAACATCAAATTGAGATCTAATTTGAGATGGAACTCAGTTTTCTAATACTGTTATAAGACGTTTCTCAAGATAAGTGAATTTATACATTTTAAGATTTTTGTGTAAAGACAGTATTTTTTAGAGAAAATTTCTGAAAGATTCTTTTTCAAGTGTCATGGCAATGCACACATGCATGCACATATATATATACACATGTACTGAACTCAGTCCTTCATCTCTACTACTTAAATGACATTTTCACATCAAAATCAAATGAATTTTTAATAAAAACTTCGTAAGTTCTGAAAAGATCTTGCAACTATTAACTAATCCATTGATTATTTCAAATATATCTCAGAGATAGGAAGGGAAAAACAGTACAGTGCTGTGTTTAAAGTCTATTTGATAACGAACAAAGCAAACGGCTCTAATTTTTTAAAAGTCTTTACATAGTGGATTTGCAATCCTTTCAAAGGAAATAAACACATTTTCCATTTGTCTTAAGAATAACATTAAAATTTTTTTCTGTTAAGTCTTCCTTGGGTAGAACAAGAGATACAAAATTCCATCGTTGAAGAATAGTTTTACAGAGTAAAAGCCAAAAGTGCCCTGATATACAAACTAATGTGTAATTTCACCATACTATTTCTTACCAAGGACTCTAAAATAATTTAGCACTTGTTCTACATATCTATACTATGTAAATCTCAAGGATATCTGGTAATTTCAATATTCATAAATATCAATGGAAGGAGCTTTGATAACAAGAGCTTCTAGTAGCTAAATATATGATTAAATCAAGTGTTTACTGAATTGCCTCCTGTAGACCCACTCTGTTATATCTAAAGCAGTTTTTAAGCAATCAAAAAGTGCTACTCACCAGCAAGTGTATAATCCATATCAAAACCAAAACACTTTATTTTTTCCATGGCTAAACTTCGGTTCACAAACACCCTAAAAAGAGAAGCAAAAAATGATCTCTCAATTAACACTGAAGCAAATCCCCCCAAAATTCCTAAATTTAATGTAATTATTTGATTATCTTTCTAGATTTTTTTCATTTAAATACCAATATTAAGATTCATAACAGGGGCACCTGGGTGGCTCAGCTGGTTAAGTGTCTGCCTTTGGCTCAGGTCATGATCTCGGGATTCTGGGATGGAGCCCCACTTCTGCATCAGGGCTCTGGCTGGCTCCCTGCTCAGTGGGGAGTCTGCCTCTCCCTCTCCCTTTGCCCCTCCCCCTGCCTGTGCCCTCTCTCAATAAATAAAATCTTAAAAGAAGGGATGCGCCTGGGTGGCTCAGTCATTAAGCATCTGCCTTCGGCTCAGGTCATGATCCCAGGGTCCTGGGAAAGAGTCCTGCATCGGGCTCCTTGCTCAGTGGGAAGCCTGCTTCTCTCTCTGCCTGCTGTTCCCCCTGAAAAAAAACACTCGCTCTCTTTCTGACAAATAAATAAAATCTTAAAAAAAAAAAATCTTTTAAAAAAAAGATTCATAACAAAGTTATTCAAGTCCTTCTTATACCATAAATGAAATCAGATAAATGAAAATGTACGTATTTTCTTACTGTCTTAGTATTAACAATGCCATGTGTTAAAGACTTCAGAGAATCAGCTCTCCTTTTCTAAGATTGACCCCCTAAGATAAGCTTATTTTTGAGATTTTATAATACATTCACTCATTCATTTATAATTTATTTAATAAACAGAATTCATTAAAGCCTACAACATGCCAGATACTAAAGACATAAACATAAATATATTCGTTCAAACACTGAGTGCTTACTATATCCCAAACAAGGTACATGATACAGCAGTGAATGAACAAGAGTACCTGCCCTTATGGAACTTCTATTTTAATTTACAATCTCTATCCTTGAGGAATTCAGCCTAGCAGGAGAGACATGCACAAATAATTTCAGCAATTCAATAAATGCTATAAAATAAGACAGAAGCAAGGATACCACTACTTAAGAGACCAGAAGAGATGTCTGAGATGAATCTTAAGCAATCAGTAGAAGTTTTTCAATTGGACAAAGCAACAAAGGCAATCCAGGCAGAATAAGTAAGCAAGGACAAGGTTTATAGTGAACTATAAAATATTTACTATGGCTGGAGCTGAGGCGTTTTGTTTGGTTTTACTTTCCTGTTTGTTTTTGCAAAAGGTTTTCCAGAAGGGCAGGGGTAGGGAGAAGGGGCAATAAAAGCTATGAAGCTAAAAAGATTAGTAGGAGTCAAAATCATGAAGACTCTGTATGCCACATTAGAGTTTGGACTTTATTGTACAAGCAAGGACAAATTACCAGATTTTGAAGAAATGAAATAATCAGAGTCAAATTTCAGAAAGATCACTTTTGAAGACATGGGGAAAACTAAACATATAATAGCATGGCAAATCATCACCATGATGATGTTTTGGGATAAGTTTTAATCATCTCTGAAAACAAAAATATCCTTTTGGGGCGCCCAGGTGTCTCAGTCAGTTAAGTGTCTGACTTGATTTTGTCTCAGGTCATGATCTCAGGGTTGTGAGATCAAGTCCCATGTCAGGGTCTGCGCTGGGCATGGAGCACACACACACACACACACACACACCCTCCCGCTCCCTCTGCTCCTCCCCACCGCTATCTTCACACACACACACACACACACACACCCACCCCCTTTCCATCTCATCCCCAGTTTGACAGCCAAAATTACTGAATGGTTTATCCTCTTATTACCAAACCTTTTCTTTGCCTTCATTTTAGAAGTAACTGTGAGAAATGAGAATGCTACAAATAAAATAAAGATGCCTGGGCTGGGCTCCTATTCACGATGTAGGTCAATAATCTCCAAAGAGGAGTGACTATACCAGGGGATGCAGAAGACTCCACTGGGTACAAAAAGAAGATATCAGATCTTCTACTGATACTTATTTCATCATTTAGATATGCTTAATTTGTATATGTTTTCTACTATATATAAATAAGGACAACAGTCCATGAAGGGATGAATGTTCTACGTTTTAACTGATAGAATACTGGGGAGTTTGGGAACCACTAATCTAGGTAATGACTCCTCACCAACTCATATATTACTATTTCAAAAAAAAACAGAAAATTTTTCCTCTCATCTCAGAATGTATGCACCAATTTTAAACGCAGACCAAAAAAATCACGTATTTGCTTAGAAATATTTTAATCAAGGACTTAAAATCAATAGGCCCTTGAATTACGGAACCACTAATCTTCTGAAAAATATGAAAATCATTACTTATCTAAGTGTGTTATGCACACTGGATTAGCTCTATAAAACCCTTAGTTCCTGAGAACTAAATCCTGAGAATTAATGCCAGTATTGGTATTTACCTCCTTATCTCTGTAATACTGTAGATTAATATTTTATTTTTCTAATGGGATTATGTACATCAATTATGCTTTACCCAGTTTATCTACTAAGTACAGATGAGTTATATATGAAAGTCAATGTTTAGAATCTAGGTAATACTGAGTCTCGTATATTAGTTTTGCCACTGACCAATGGTGGACTATGTTTTATATACAAAGTACCTGAAGGGCCTATTTATAATTCTTCTTACCCAAATTACTGTAGCAATATTCCTTTGGATTTTGGGCTTTCTCTGCAGATAGGTGTTTTTCTTTTCCCTTTTCTTGGGGCTTCTTTTCCCCTTAATTAGACCTATTGGGTGCTTTGGTCTCCTATTTTAAGTTGCCCTAATATAGGTCCTTTCTAATAGATAGGAGGGGGTAGAAGCCTAATGGATAGCCGAAAGATCCAAGGAAATATAAGATAAATGACACCCACCCAAATCTTTTTTTAAACACCCACAAACCCAAATATATCACCATGATCTTTCTACCACTTCATCAAATTTCACCCTGCTTTTACTGATAAAAGCATCTACTTTATTATCACATTTTCTCAGTTACATAAATCCTTTTGAAGGCACAAGAGGGGTAAGACACAAAGCAATGGTTCTAACTCTGGAAACCAAATGTTGCCACTGAAGATTAGGCTTTTCAAACACACTCTCAATTCAGGCTAGAGGCCAACTGGATCAAATCCTTGATCAGAGCCCAAACAGCTGACATGCCTAAAATATTCTATGGGAATTCAGGCAGGAACGACTGCAAAGATTCTTATGATACAACCCAGGAGGGATATATGTTGGGACCACATGATAAAAGAAACAGCTTGGTTTCTGATAGAATGATGTGAGCTGGTTTCAGGCACAGCTCAAATCACAGGGTTAAAAACAGACTTTGCTACTATCAATCAATCAGTGCTAAAGGTAGAAAGAAACTATCAACAGACCCAGCAAGATAGCTTACCAGTTTATTTCTTGGTCAGAAGAAAGATTAAGCCTGTACTCCTTTATAACATTATTTTAAGGATATGAAGATTATAATGCACCTTAGGTATATTATCCATATGAACTCTTGGAATCACATATGTTGGGAATATGAAAATCTATTGTTTTTGGCAAAATTATGACTGCTAAATATCCATCAAATCGTACTCTTTCCCCTTCGATTAACTTGTCACCTTATTCTATCAGCACATTTGTTGAGAGCCTACTACAAAGCCAGTACCACTTTGTTTCAGGGAGTAGACTGAGTGAGGAAAGACTTTTTAGATTTTAGGAAATAAGATGTTGTCTTATGAAGACCTTCCACTAAATATCCTTTATCTTTTCACTTTCATTCAAAATAAGTAACCTCACCCACAGAAGAAATTCCTGAATTTAAGAAACAATCACTCCTGTCTCCCCTTCTCATTCCTATTATGAAACAAAAAGAAAAATCTCACATATGTTTTCATCTCGTCTTTCCCTATAAAACATGGAAGGAAAGAGCAATAAGGAAATTAAATCTAATTTGGGTGCAAATATTTGAAGTGTATTAAGTAAAGCTATAATGACAAAAGGGGACAGCTGGGTCATAGAGAACTGCAATAATACATATTCTAAGATTTACAGAGATAATAAATATCCAAATGCTGAAAGTATGCACTGACTTCAGAAGACAGGCAGCCTGGGGCCAGAAATATCATGTCTCCAGGATACAGTCTTCAAGAGAAACAATGTCTTGGCCCCAAACTAATCACTATTCTTTACTGTTACAACAAAAGAGAGTATTAGGCACTGTATCAGTTAAAAGACTGGCTCACTGTCCCACCATACATTTAAAACAAAAGACTGTATCTGCTTGGAGAATTCAAAAATTTCTATTGGTCCCAGGGCCTTGACTCTGTCTGGGCCAATGCCAATTTACTTGTGTCGCTTTTCTTAATTATTAACCAGTGGAACACACTCTACTATAGACCTCAACTTCCAGAATGTGAATACATTTGTGAAATGAACTTTCCAAAGCTTATTTTAAATAAAGCACAAAGTCTCCACAAAGCATGACTGACCTAAGCATCCAACCTTAAAATGCAGTTATCAGCCAGAAATTCCTACATATTAAGGCATTTGCAAGATACAGATTTGAGCATTAACAAGAGAAACCATCTTTAGGAAACAACACATATAAAACCTGGCACTATAAAACCAGGCACAGATTTAGACAGAGATAAATTTAACAGTTTTTACTATCATATCCCACCACAGTAAAGCATGAAATTTAAAGAAATTCTATCCAAGGAAATATTGATATTAACTTTAAGAAATAAGACTATGTGCTTTAAGAATAAGGATCTAATATCTTCATACTTAAGGAACATGAACATGCAGTTTACTAAATTTAGAATTTTGTCAATAGCAAACTCTTAGCGGTTTTGAGATTTAACTCATAATTCAAAGCAGCATTACCTCATCTGTCACTGGTTGCCGTTCTGCAATGTGTGAAACTGAGTCAATAAGCTCTTGAAGTCACATAACAAAATTCTTCTTCAAGTCCCTAGTATAATTTATTTCTGTGTAACTTTAACCTAACTGCAAAAAGACTGT